AGTAAAACGGCCTTTAACATAGTTTTCTAGAGGGAAAGATTTCGTCAAACTACTCACTCACTTCATTACTGCAAATGAGGAGGTGAAACCCTGCAATTACCTGATTTTCAGTTGATCATTAGTGTGAACAGCAACCAAGTGCTAAACTTTTATTTCCCCCAAATCTCATCATCTTTCGTAGCTCAACCACCCATGTGTGCACACTCAAAGCTCTGGTAACACTGGACTACAAGCAATCTCTCAAACATTTCATATACCGGTACTTTCACACATCCCTGGTCTTCATCTCTATCTTTGGTTCCCATTCCCAAATCAGCAAACTTCAGAGCCCAAATATGGCGTCTACTCTCTATAGGATTCCCTGTGTGACAGTTAAGTGTTCAACTACTAGCCAAAAGGTTAGGAGTTTGAATCCACTCAGAGGCTCCTTGACAGCTAGGCCTGCCCATCTGTTTTGAAAATCCAATCGAGGACAGTTCTACTTGTGCACACATAGGGGCGCTATGAGCTGGAGTCTACTGGAAGGCAACTAACAGCATCTGTCTAATCCTCCTCCCTACTCCCATGCACAAATCAGTATTCCTACTGAATGCCATCCTTTCGTTATATAGTCTCATCACACTGAATTATTACAGAGATTTGTTAACTTAGCTGATGATAAGCTTCTTGAAGGCAGGGAAGCATTTTCTTTTCTTGATTCTAATATTTAACTTCTAGTCTGAGAATAGATTTTTAAAAGGCAGATTATTGAAAAAAAAATCGCCTTTTATTTTGTTATGATAATGATGTGATTGTAGCAACTGAGTGACTGAGAGTTAAAAAATAAAAAGTAACCCAACCGGAGGGAAGCGCTTTCATGCAGAAGGTGTAATTAAATCGCAGTGTGCGCATGTTTTCATCTTGCAATACCAGTTTCTTTTCTCCTTCTCGCCTTTTGAAAAGGGGCTTTACATAACTCTCTTTCACACACGCCGGCTAAAAGACAATTTCCTTTGCATCGCTCTCACAGAATGTATAAATAAGTCTATAGTACCATACAGGGTTAAGACTATGGTCTCAGGAGCCAGACTGGTCTGGTTTGAATCATGGTTCTGCTACCTACACTGTTTTGATCCTGGCCAAGTTACTCAGTCTCTCCATGCCTCTCTATACGGAGATCACAATAACAACATCAGAACGGTATTGTTGTGAGAGTGAAAATAAGAAAACACATGGGAAGAATGTAGAACAGTGTCTGAGACAGTTACTGTTGTCGTTAGGAGACTCAGTCCATTTTAGACTCTAGCTATCCCAAGTGACAGAGCAAATCTGCCCCACAGAGTAGGCTGAAGCTTGGTGGGCGCATACTGCCAGGTCTTTCTCCCATGAAGCAAGCTGGCAGGTTCAAGCCCCAACCCTTCAGTTAGCTGCCAAGCACTTACTCATTGTGCCACTGGACAGAGAGGGTCCCAATAAATCCTAGTGGATGGGGCTGCAGCTATCACCAGCTTTTAAAATCATCTTAGTAAGTTATAAATCACAGTCCAATCTATAGAGGGTGCACAGCTTCAAATTGGTGTTTCAAATTAGTTGGTCGAAACCCTGAGCTGTTGAGCTATCTTTAAGTAAAGTGTTTATAATAGCACGACAATTATATTCACTCAGAAGTTTGTCTCTCCTCCTCCTCCTGCACTTAATTCGGTCTTGGTCCCCAGTGACTGAAAAGCCTTGAACCACAATACAAGAGTACCTGGGGCTGGGAGCAGTTAAGTACTTGCCCGCTAGTCAAATAGTTGGCGGTCTGACCCTACCAGAGGCACCCATGAAGAAAGGCTGGCAATTTGTTTCCAGGAGGTCACAACCTTGAAACCCCTAAGGAGCAAGTATACGCTCCAACCGGGGGGTTGCCAGGAGTTGAAACTGGGCAGCAACTAACGACAAACAAGACTTACTGCAGAGCATTGAAAAGTAATGCAATTTTCACCTTTCGAAGGCTGCCTCTTAAGAGATCAGAAAAACCAACATGTCCCCATTATTTCTGCATTTTAAAAAACCTGCTGCTGCCTTCGACACAAATAATAATAAAATAATTATGAGAATGAAAGCCCAAAAGACACAATTATTACATTTCCTGATGTCTGCCTAGGAACTCACATCTGAGCCTGTGTCCTCAGGAAAAGTTCACCGGGTACAAGCTACTAGTCCCCTTTTTATTTCCCTTCTCCCCAAACTGCCGCACGTTCACACACCCCTTGGAAAGAACACAAATGTCTATAATAAAAACTGTATAAAAGTATTTGCATAGAGTGCAGTATAGCACTGATGAAACATACAACTTTCAAAAAAAAAAGAAACATAGAACTTTCCTTTAGTTATTTAAAGCTCCCCCCCCCAACTATCATGACCCCAATTCTACCTTACAAATCTAGACCACAGCAGGTACACTGGTACAGATAAGAGCTAGAAACACTGGGAATCCAGGGCAGATAAACCCCTCAGGACCAATATTGAGAGGAGTCATACCAGGAGGGGAAGGGGAAGGTGGGAGAGAAAGGGAGAACCGATCACAATGGTCTACCTATAACCCCTTCCCAGGGGGATGGACAACAGAAAAGTGGGTGAAGGGAGACAACAGTGTGTAGGACATGGGGAAAAAATTAATAAATTATCAAGTATTCATGAGGGAGGGAGGGTGGGGAAGGGAGGGGAGGGGAAAATGAGGAGTTGATACCAAGGTCTCAAGTAGAAAATGTTTTGAAAATGATGATGGCAACATATGTACAAATGTGTTTGACATCATGGATGGATGGATGGTGATAAGAGCTGTATGAGCCCCCAATAAATGATGTATTAAAAAGAGGATTGGCATCTATTAATTTGGTCTTGGAAGACTTAAAACTTCTTAAATTTTGATTTAAGTCTTGGTTTGAAGCAATGCTCACAGCCTACTTTTTACCGGGTACCCTAGACTGCAACTATTTCCCTACAGCCCAAAAAACCCCACCAAATTCACAGTCTTCACGTGGATTGCTTGATTGCTATCAATGATAAATGAATAACAATACATCGATAATATGTTTTCTAGAAAATGTCATAAGTATGTTTGAAATGGACCAGACAACTCAAACAACTGTGATTTTGTAATAATAATGGTTTTTTAAAGAGCTTGAACAACTCGTTTCCACAGTAAATGTAAACCTAAGGCTAAAACACCACTGGCTTTAGGCCGTAAGGTGACCAGACGTCCCGCTTTTGGCGAGACAGTCCTGATTTTGAACAATTTTTCCCGCGTCCCGCGGCGTTTTAAAAAAGTCCCGATTTTTGGAAAGAATGCACGACAAGCTAGGGTATACGGTTTTCGGCTGCCATGTGGCTATTTCGCCAGGATATGCGTTTTATCAATGGTGTCCCGCTTTACCAATGGTAAAATCTGGTCACCTTACTTTAGGGTAAAGGTTTGAGTGCCGACTACGTGCCAGGCATCCAGAGGTGGCTGTGATGCTGCAGGTGCAGGGTTCATCACAAGTCCCAACGCCTAGACTTTGTTTTTATCCATCGCATGTGCCCCTCGCCAGCATAGCAATTGAACAGGGGAAAGAAGGTCCAGAAAAGTTCAAAAGTTCAGGGAAGCCGAGACATCACATCTGGTGAGTCCTGACCGAGGCTGGGTCTTTTGACTCATGATCTAATCCTCCTGTGCTGTACGAGTCCCACACACACCACTCTTAGGTGTTTCACTGTCAGATTTTTTTTAATCCAACTAGACGACGCCCTGCTCCGTTCTGCTAGGAATCAAGCGCGCACACTTTGGGAAAGTCTACCCC